GGGTTTTGGATATCATGGGTAGGCCGACAAAGGCCTTAAGTACGCCGTACTTAAGGCCTGGGATTTGTGTCAGTATTCCGTTTTAGGGTTTTGGATATCATGGGTAGGCCGGCCAGGACCTTAAGTGCGCCGTACTTAAGGCCTGGGACCTGTGTCAGTATTCCGTTTAGGGTTTGGGATATCATGGGTAGGCCAACAAGGGCCTTAAGTACGCCGTACTTAAGGCCTGGGACCCGTGTCAATATTCCGTTTAGAGTTTTGGATATCATGGGTAGGCCCACAAGGGCCTTAAGCACGCCGTACTTGGGGCCTGGGACCTGTGTCAGTATTCCGTTTAGGGTTTGGGATATCATGGGTAGGCCAACAAGGGCCTTAAGTACGCCGTACTTAAGGCCTGGGACCCCACCCCCCGTTATTCAGGACGTGATTTCCCATACAAATATCCACCAGGTCGGCCCTCTGCAGATGTCCCGTCAGACGGGGGGGGGGGGGTCCGAAGCCTTAACTACGGCGTACTTAAGGCCTCCGCGTTACTGGACCACGATTGCCTGAAGTACAGAGTGAATGCTTTTCAAAACCGAGAAACTCCAACCCCCGCCCCAGAGTCCTTGCCTTGTGGACTGAAACAAGACTCCCCCGTCCCACCAAAATGTCGTCCCAGGACCAACCCCTGGAGTATACTGCGCCCACCGAAACACACTGCACCACCGCACGCGATCCTACAGGACATCATACAGCAGCAGCTCAGAGCCCAAGAAGGAATATGAAGTACTACACTGATGGTAATAACTGGCACGGTGCCAATAAACAAACTAATCAACATAAGTTTATGCTATAGTCATAAAGAACAAGACAAAGAAATCCCTCTTAGTGTGACGCTTTTGATGGACAAACTCATGCATGGCATTACGGACCCTGAACTATGGGAATTATGGTATATTCCTTTTTATGGGTAATGCCGGAGTTTGTCACGCCCATCAACACTCCATCAACAGTAAGAGTCTATCGTGCTTGTCAGCGTTTCCTTATTATGGCAATCTATTTGTTCCTCCTCAGGCCCCTGCAGAGCCCTAAGCCCTATTGCACCTGTTCCACCGTCTCCGTCGTAGGCAGGATAAGCCCCTCGAAGCCCAGCTGCAAAGCTCGGCGCAAGTATCTGCAGAAGGAATTATGGAGGGTTTGTTTGGGGTTTGGAATTGCACGTGTTGGCTTGTGGCTATTAGGGTGGCCAGTAGCACAGCAAGCCCACTCTGCACGCAACTTGACTTCAGAGTCTCGATCTCTCGCATCCGAAATGTCACGCACACGAGACCAAGACTACCAATTCTCGACATGGTACTCTATAGTATACTCAAACATACTATATGTTGAATCCGTATAGTGAACGAGAGGCCGGTACATGAGAATGTGGCAATGTCAACTGCGCCAAAGAGACGGGTGCTTCAGCAAAACCATTTGGCATCGAGTTTTGAACATGAACAAGGTCCGAAAACTCCACAACAACTCCGCACTTGCAGGTAACGACGAAAACTCCACCACAGCTCCTCACGCCCAACCCCTCTGAGCTTTCGCCTGCGATGTGAAGACTCCAGACCTGGGCGAGTTCAGGTTCGGCGGCTTTAGGGTTTAGGGTTTAAGGGCAGCACGCACACAGACAGAGCGCCACCTGGCAGCCTCGGAGCCCCAACCACCTGAACCCGAACAGACCCTGAGCACCCTGAAGCGCGCGCCACCGGAACAACGACGAAAGCTCCACCACAGCTCCTCACTCCCAACCCCTCTGAGCTTCTGAGCTGTCGCCTGCCATGCGAAGACTCCAGACCTGGGCGAAGTCAGGCTCGGCGGCTTCAGGGTTTAGGCTTTGAGCGCTGCTGACACTTCGCAGCTGGTTCGGCAGAGAACTCCGTTTTGAGCGTTGCTGACACTTCCTCTTCGTCCACACCGTGGCACACCCGGTCCTTGTTGCAGGTCTGGAGCTTCAAGACCAGCGGCGGCAGCCTGGGCGACTCCACGTCTCCCTTGGCCGTTTACTCGTCACCCTGTTCGCGCTGTCGCTTCTTGCCACCCCACCGGCCGCACAGCCAAGTCTGGAGGACCTCCACGGCTTTGCACGAGTTCTGCGTTGCCAGCGCCGAGTCGATCTTCGGAAGAGACACCTCTTTGCCTCGCACGCGAATCTTCTTGGGAAGGCACTTGCGGACTTTAGCTGCGACATCCTTGAAATCCACGGCGCCTTTTGTGGTCCGGCAGCCGGCCGCATTTGCGATCTGCAGGAAAACCTTGGAGTTGTTGCCGGGCAGGAAGTTGGCATTGATGAACTCTCTGGAGATCTTGCGGCGGAGCAGTCTATGCTCGGCTCCCTGCTCGCAGCAAAACAGATACTCCAGCGTGTGGGACTGCACGAAGTCGCCCTTGAAAACAGGGAGCAGAGAAAGAGCCTTGAGACATCGAGCG